TGTCAGTTGGTTACTATATGGTGGGGTTATGGGTGATTTTTAAAATTATTCTTTTGTATTTGAAAAGCTCTGGAAACACAGTCTTATTTCCACTGTGTAAAATGTAGCAAATGTAAAGAAGAGTAAGACTGGGAAAACAAGACTCCTACCAGCTCGAGCCCCATAGCCAAGAGGTTATCCATTTTATAATCCTTGTTAAACCTTCTGAGTTCACACTGCTAAGACTATCCATGGTGCAAAATTGAGAAGGATGTTCCTCTCTGCAATTTCACTTTTTGATCTTGTTTTATCTCAGTGCACTCTCTGGGTTTTCTAATATTACACCAGTTCTTACTTTGTTTAAACCAGTTCTACATGCAGGTATCAAGTATGTAATTAGGCTCTACTAGATATCTGGGAATAAATCTGGAATTCGACCTGCCTAATTGAGGTACTCTTATTATATGTGACTGCTTGATAGTACATAACCAGCTTTAGAAGTTTCACTGTCCCCCTGACATGGAGGCACATGATGCCTCTGGTTCAAAAGTATTAGAATGCCTTTTCTAGGGGTTGCTTATCACTGCTTTTCATTGATCCTTAACATTCTTTCTTTTCTGGGCCCCAGTCCATCTCTGGCTTCTGGTGTAAGCCATATAGATGCCACAGTTGTTTCTCTTTAACTTCTGATTTAGGAACTATTATCTCTTGTTATTAATGTCTCTAAGTGTTACATGCATTTGAGTTGGACTTTGAATGATAGGGAAGATTTCAACTATACAGGAGGGAGGACATCAGAGAACTTACACAAAGAAAGATGCAGATGTTGGGGGAATATGGCATTTATTCAGGAAAGGGTGGGTTGTCCTGAAAGCTTCAGCATAGTATATTCATAAGCAGAGGTATCATCAAAAACATTTATCATCTGGTACATACCGAGATGTGCCTGACTTGTTAAAGTGGGTGATATTTGTAAAGCCATAATACTGGGATGTAGTCACACAAAAGTGGCTATTACTGGGAGACAGCAGAATGTTTGAGTTAAACTGGAAAGCCTTAATAGCCTCAACGAGTTCGGGCTTTTTTGGTGGGCAACAGGAAGCTACTAGAGGTTTTCCAACAGACCAGTGAAACAATTAGGAAACTTACCAAAAAAGCAGATTTAAAGTTGCACTGATTAGCAGGGGAAAGTCCACAGGTAGAGAGATCAACTATGAGGCCATTTCCACACAAGAGATAAGAAAGAATCCATCAGTGTTGTTGGTAAGAATACAAAGAGAAAAGAGATATGGAAACTATCACAGAGGTGGCATTGGCAGCATTTAATGACTGGTGGCATGTAGGATGCAAAGCTAGAAAAAGAATCAGGGATGATTCTAAGATTTCAAACCAGAGTGATGAGAAGAATGCTGGAGAGATTGCAAAGGTGTTTCAAGCACAAGGAACAAGACTAGTGTAGAAGATGTCTATGGCTGGCTATGCCAAGGGCAGGTAAAGGGCACAGGCGGGGCAGCTCTGCTATCCCTCCCGAATCCCCCCAACTCACTTCAATTAAATGCATAGTCCAATAAAAGAAGTATAGTCCCTATGCAGCCTCCCCTTCCAACTGAGTTGATCCTGAAATTCCCTTTTATGTAAAAATTCCGAAGCCACTACTAAGGTATACAAATGTAGAAAGATGGGAATAGTGGGCCCACAACCAATTGTGTGGTGGCACTGGCTCACAGAGCTGGTTGTGTTATTCTATTTCCAACCTCATGATCAGTGACATCATGTAGGTAGCTTGAAATTGGGCCACTGTGGGAATATTCACACCCCAGAAATTGGCAAACTCTCCAAATTCAGGCACTTTTCTCCCAGAAAGCCAGTTGTTAAATATTTATATCTCTCTTAAAGAACTGGCTATGAAAGCAAGAAAAATAGTGAAGTATTACATAACCCTTGAATGATTGTTAAGATAAACTTTAAGAGTATCAGCTGAAGGAGAAAAAGGAGAAGCTCATGAGGTTGAGGCATGATTGATATGCATGGCTCTGGAGGTTCAGGAAAGGTGGGATGGCAGATTTATTCCCATGAAGGGATTTCCAAATATTTCTAGGTTCCTCATTGGTACCTTGAGGAAAAATGGTTTTTTAAACAATATTTAATGATTTTTTAAACAATATTTAATACTCTGGTACAAATAATGTTCTTCCAAGATGACCATTCTTCCTGCTTCTCATTCTTCCTGTTAGAGTGGTCCTGCTGGGTTTCCTCTACAAATTAGATGAATACTTCAATTGAGCAATAATGAATTTTTTTAGCAGGCTAGCCTGCTGAATGTGGGAAGCAATTATTAAGGAGATAGCAAATCACCACGGTAGTATTTAACTAAACTTCTCTTTCAGGGCATCTTTCCAGAACTAGATCTGTCTTACAACGTCCACACCGCCCCCTCTACAGGCCCCATCTGCGCAGTCTTTCTCCTACCTCCTCCAAAAGGCTAGTGTATTTTGTACTCACTCTTTTCATAATGAATCATTTCTAAGGCTTAATCCTTCAACTGTGAAATTTATTACAGAAATTGTTCACTAGAGCAGGCAGGATACAAGAAATGATTATATCTAAATGACATTTTGCTTGGATTAAGGTTAAGATACCCATTATTTAGAAACATATTCTCCTGTACAAGACAAAATATGGTTCTTCAAGCCTACTCGACTGTTGAAAAAATCATAATAGGAATTTCCACTTCATCTTCAAGAAAGGTGATTAGGTGCTACAAAATAATCCAATCTCTTGCTGTGTGGTTTGAGCACATAACTGGTGTTCAAAAATATTTGTGGAAAGACTGGAATATTTTCCCGTAACAGTAGGGTTCCATCACACTGAGCTTTAAATCAAATATTTGAGGAACTAAGAGAATAAATGTGCTTTTAACTTAAAATAATGTTTTGAACTGCTGGATTAATTTACTCAATCAATAATATGCAAATCTTGAGTATTAATTCTCTTGAGTATCTTTAATTCTCATTTAAGGAGAAAGTATTTAGCAAGATTTGTCCATTCATTACCATTTTAAAGTTACCAAAACAGAATACATAGTGACATTTAAAAGTATAAAGGAAGTGACAAGAGAGATATGATGACTTTATTCACCATAAAAAGGGGCAAAAGGAGCAAGAGAAATAAAGATAAAGGGGCTTCCCTTTGTCTAGTGGTAGTACAAAGTCTCAGGAATAAAGACGATAAATTAATAAGCACACCACACCACCTAGCTAATTATTTTTGTATTTGAAGAGAGGAGGTTTTGTCAGGTTACCCAGGCTGGTCTGCTATAAATTTCATGCATCAAGGTACACAAAGGAGAAACAATAACTAATTAGACATATTGCTAAGGGCCAGGTGAATGAAAGAAAACAAGAAGTACTATCCAGATCTTGGAAGTTGGTGCAGCCTAGAAGAATAAATATTCATTGTAGAAGTAGTGACTGAAAGAGAAGTCAAACGTTTCAAAGACTACAATGCTCAGGGATAGGTACAGTGGTCAGGCTGTGAAGCAGAAGGATCTGACTAATGTTTTAACTATAATGTTCAGATTATGGAAAGTTGATTTGTGGTCTGAAGAGTATACACCTCATCCTAGAGGTTAGCAATATATTGTGATGTGGGAACATATTTTCTTGAACAGTTACTATGCTATTGGTGCTTTTATGATCCAAAGACTTCATAAGCATTATCTCATCTAAACCTCGCAATGATCCTAGGAGGTAGAACTCATTTAACTAGTATTTTATGGTCAATGAAACTGAAGCTCAGAAAATATAATCAACTTGCCCAAAGTCAAATAGCTAGTAAGCAATACCACTGACTTTAGAGCCTGCCTTCTTTGTCATCTTATTGACATGCTTCCATGATAGGAATGGCAGGATCAAAGACCCATTGTCAGTGCATGGTATATACGTACCATCATCCAGGACCCCCTCTGGACACCAAAACCCACAGATGCTCAAGTCCCTTAAATAAAATGTTGTAGTATTTGCATATAACCTACACACATTCTCATGTATTTTACATCTTTTCTAGATTACTTATAACACCAAATACAATGCAAATGCTATGTAAATAGTTGTTATAAGGTATTTTGAAAACTTGTATTATTTTTTATTATTGTATTGTTATTATGTATTTTTTTTTAAGGAAGTTTTTGATCTGTGGTTGGTTGAATGCATGGATGTGAAGTTCATGAATATGAAGGGCTGGATGTAATGGGGTTAGTGGATTAAATGTTGGACAGATGGTTAAAACAATAGTCTGGACAAGCAATGAGAAGGGCAGCAGAGAGAGAAAGACAAGGGTGCAGTACATGTTTTGAAGCCAGAATGATCGGAACTTGTTCTCTGCTACAGACTGATTATTTGTGTCTCCCCACAACTCATGTTGAAACCTCAAACCCAGTGTGATGGTTATTTGGAGGTCGGCCTTTGGGAAGTGATTAGGTCATGAGGTCAGAGACCTAATGAATGATATTATTGCTTTTATAAAAGAGACCCCAGAATACTCCCCAAATCGCCTTCCACTATGTGAGGATGTGGCAAGAAGACAGCTGTCAATGAACCAGAAAGGAAGCCTTCTTGAAACACTGACTGCCAGCACCTTGATCTTGGACTTTCGAGCCTCCAGAAATAAATTGCTGTTGTCTGAAAGCTACACAGTCTGTGGTATTCTGCTATAGAAGCCTGACAGGACTGAGACAGACCAACAGGTTATGGAGGGCGATGGAGGAAACAAGAACCTGGAGATGGGGCCTGTATCTTAGTGGGAAGGCTGTAAAAGTTGTTTTTTCTTTTTTTACTTCCCACTTTGCTTTAATGTAATATCTAGGCTCTTATAAACTTTCTCTGTTAATCAGCTATATCAGCGGATTTCATGCTTTTTCAACACAATCCAGTGTAAAAAAATATATAACAACCCAGTACGCACATTCATATTCAACCACTTACCTATTTTACCAAAATCAAAGTTAATAAAACAATACTTACCTTCTGATATTTTCTATTCAATTCTATTCCATTTAAAAATGCTCACTGAAACACACCAAATTGATATCCATCATGATCCACAGATTGAAAACAGAAAGCTTATTTCAGAGCTCCATCCAAGTACATAACCATGTGTTCAGCTTGGGCCCTCTGGTATCTATCACAGAATCTAGCACATAGAGCTTTAGAAGTGCTGAAAACAAGAAAGAAGGAGAAACCACATTTTTTTTTTTTGAAGATCATCTATTTTTCTTAATTTAAGAAATAGTAAATGTGTTACTGGCAATCTCACTAAGTTTATGCCATCTGAAAATTTAGTCAGCTTGGTCCCAATCCCAAATTCAAGTTAATTAATAGCCCCAGTTATAGCTTTAATCCAATCAGCACTAAAAATTGGAGCTTAAATCTACAAATTGGGGTTTACGTCTCCTGAAGGCCATATTAATGACAAAGCAGAATACTACAGCAATTTGGAATGTAACATTAATTGATTTAGAATTTCAACAAGCTGCAAAAAATAATCTGGAGTGAAACAGATTTATGGCAACAGAGCCTTACCACTCCTGACTCTGTAACCGCTAGAACATATACTAATGTTAAAAAACATGCCTCGTGATTACAGAAACACTTTTTTCACAGGCTCTCCATTCCAGCAAGCAAATCTCTGTGATATGCCCTGCAGATGACCTGTGTGTGACACCCATGACTTAATATGTTATGTTATGTATCCTTTTTCCAAATGGCAGATCTTCCTCATTATTATAGTCAGTTTAATTTAGCCCAATTACTTAAGCAATAGTGTACTAAGTGCTAAAGTGGGCACTGAGGATACGACATGAGTAAACATAGACTCTGCCCTCAAGAAGCATGTTATGAAGTCAGAAAAGCAGATGTCTAAACAAATGATAATTCCAGAGTGGGAAAGGCAGATGAGAGGATGAGACAAATGGGGGAACAGGGCTTGACCAAGACAAAGATTCATTTCTCTCATCACAAAGAATCTAGCACATACAGCAACACACCAAATAAACGATTGGTGACAGAAGACGAAATAACCCCAAAGTGCTATTTAACTGTGTTGTTGTCAAGGTGAAGTATGTTTGTGTTTAATTGTGCTTGTTGAAATGAAACGTATTTATTTTTGCCTGTTGTTGCTATCCTCATTAAGGTGTGAGATAACAGCAAGGAATCTGATTGTCTACTTGGAAGTTCCAAAGTATAGTTCCTGGGCTTTTTGGGGTTTCAGGGTCTCTTTCCAGGGGGTTCATGAGGTCAAAATTTCTTTCATAATTGTACTAAAAGTTACTTGCCTTTTTGACTATGTTGATATTTGCACTGACTGTATAAAAGTGTAATTATTTGATAGTAATCATGTTGATTGTCACAGTGTCCCTGAAGGCACAAAAGAAAACTTGCAGCAAAGCATCACAGGGCAGTGGAGAAAACACCATTGTTTAAAAGACACAGACTTGAGTTTTGGGAGCCTCAGTATCTTCACCTGGAAAATGAAAAGTTTGGCATAGATTTGGATCCCAAACTTAGTTGTCCAGCAGAATGATCTGCAAGGCTTTAAAAAATTACAGGTGTGTCATTCTCTGAATTCTACAGAATCAATCCTTGTTTTAGTTAAGTAGGATCAGCTCCATACAAATGCCAGCCAAGATGGAGGCGTGGTTTAGATCCTATCATGGAATTTCAGGTTGGGGGTGGGCCTTTTGCCTGGTTAACTGGCCATCCCTCCTGCCAAAGGGTCAAAGTTCCTCAGAAACCTATTCTGGCTTGGCTCCAAATGTTCTAGTCTATAATACATGGCTGCAATAGTTTAATTTTGGAGAAGAATGTTAAGTGGATATTACCAAACACCCACTGCAGATACACTCTCAATAAAACACGTGGAACATCTAACTTTAAGCACTGAAACTACCTGGTGAACAGAGCCCTCGGTGACTTAGTGAGTTGGCTTCCTGGGTCAGAGAGTGCTCTCAAGAACCTATCTCCTGGGCTCAGTCTCTCACCTGCCAAGCTGTGCCTGGGCACTCCCTTAGCCCCTAACCACTTCGGCCATGCCTGCTGCCAGATGTGAATTGGAGAGTTGGCAGTGAGCAGGGGAATAGGGGCATAAAGAGCTGGAGTGGGTGGCAGATCCAGATGAATCAATGTCAGGAACTTGCAGGACGAGGCAGAGATTGGGCCTTCTGGGATGATGCTATGGGCAGGGAAGGGTTAAAAGGACTACATTTGTCAGCAATTGTCTTCCAGCCCCTTGTCTTTCCAGTGTTGCCTGGCTTCTTGATAACCTTTCAGAGCTAATAAGATTGGCATTGAGGTTGAGGAGTGACGACAGGTAGCTGCTGTCCTACTCTGGGAAAGACCCATTACTGACAGGTAAATGAGGTAAATGAGGAGGTGCAGATGGCTGGTGTTTGGCACCAAATATGAACACTGAGGCAGGATGGGTATAACAGCTGTGGATGTGGACAGAAGAGCTTCAGGCTTCCGCCTCTTTGGCAAGCACGGTGTTCTGGTAGCGTCTACATTTTCCAATAACGGACCAGGTAACTCGTGCGTGTGTGTGTGTGTGTTTGTGTGTGTGTGTGTGTGTGTATGTGTGAGCACAGCATATGGTATGTGAGTCCCCACATAGGGGATTGATAGGAAGCAATTTCTAAGAGTAAAGCAATGACTTTGTTTGCAAAGAAGGCTCAGTTGCAAGACAGGTTTGGCTCTGTGATTTGGGTAATAGAACAAAAGTTGGGTATCTAATTTGAAATTTTTACTGATAATCTCTATATTTTGCTATTCAAGATATTCTAATCAATGTTAAAATAATAGAACGCTGCCGACAGCCAGCAGCCACTCAATGCTAGATTGAGTTAGCACATTCCTTGACCTTAGGTTATGTGGGTATCTTGGTCAGTAGCAAAGAAGAATCAAAACAGACATAAAAGACAAAAGAAAAGCTTTCCTCTTCCTTCTTCAGAACAGATTCCCTGACAGTCGGACAAGATCTGCTCCAGCAGTTCAGTGCCCTGGCTAACAAGATAACAATTGCATTCACTCTTGGAGGAGCAGAATGCAGCTCTCCTTCCTGGTAACCCATTTCCTACCAGCCCTGCAAAGAGCTGTCCAAGAAATGGTTGTGTAACCTCTCACTCAGTTGTTATTTTTTCCTTCCTTTAATGAAGTAGACCTTTGTTTGCCTCCTTGTCCACGTCACCAGCAATGACGAGCTGTAATGCCGTCACAGTAGTGCAATCTGGGATACCGATCAGATGGGTTAATATTTGCCAACACATTTCACGAAGAAAAAACTCCCATCTGCCTAACTCACCTTAACGGGGGTCAGTTTTATGTGGAGCTTCCAGTTCCATAATGAATAATGTCTACAATTAGCCTAGGCCAGGTCGATTTAATTTCAAGGAAAGGTTCTGTGAGTTTTACCTGCCTCAAGAGAACTGAATTCCAAGAAATTCTTGCTTTAATTAGTAGAAAAGAGATGCACAGTAATACTTTTCTCTGCGCCCAGAGCCATCTTGTCCCTCACCACACGGCAAATAATACAGGATATTTTTTGATGAAAACAATGAATTTTGAATAGACCAAATATCTTTAACAGATATTATTTGAGCACCTATTATTCACGAGATATCATGTACAGTTTTATTTTATACAATTTTTACTTCTTATTTATGCTACAACTTGTCTATGCATTGATCTTTGCTGTGTTTTAAATATTTATTTTAGTAAGATTATTATAGTTCTTGCTGGTGATATTCTAATTCATCTTTAATGGAATCTTTCTTAATTACAGACCCCTCTCATTAGATAATACTGCACTAGTCACTTCAATTATCACCTAGATTTTGAACTTTGCTTTTGCTTATCATTTATATGTGCAGAGAGACTAGTTGAAAAAGATACCATTAGCAATTTCTTTTGAAAACTAGATATCTCTCTAGTGTTCCTCTGCAGAAAATACAGGTAATCTGTTACACGTGAGATATATAACCTCCCCTCATCTGAAAGCCTTGAAAGGTAAAAGAAGATAATGTGAGTGCACTGCAAACCATTAGGAAATGAAGGCAAAAGTTAGAGATTATTATTCTTGTCAGGCACATTAGCATAGTACAGTGTTTCCCAGCCACTTTTCTATTACCCCATGATGGGAGTTCAAAGATGATGGCACCGTTTCTCCTACTCTCATTTGTGGAGGGGGCATGCTGGCTGGGTGGTGCTTCACCTGCCGAGCATCTAGCAGGATGAGATGAGCTCCTGCAGCTCTAATTGGAACTCATAATTAATATTCCTATATGGGGGTGTGAGGAGGATATGTTCTACGAAATGAAAGCTCATAAAGGTATGTGTCAAATATACTGGTTTAGGTGGACCTATGTATAACAATTTACATTTAAAAAGACATTTTCAATGTGGCTTTTGGGGTCATGGTTGGATTCTCAAAATAGCTTAGAAAGTTTAGATCCAGGCCCATGGTAACCACAGTGGTCAGTATTCCCTGCATCTGTGGGCTAAATTTACAAGAAAGTGACAGAATTTGTCTAGGTGGGAGGCATGAGTGACCTGCAGGAGCAGAATGTCCATCCCCAAGGAGTCGTCTGCAGTCCACACACTGGGCATGCCAGGGGAGGGACCAGGACCTCCAGGGAAAGCAGGACTGATGTTTCCTGTTCACTATCCCTGGCTGCTGGCCCTCATTCCACCCATCAGGTCTACAGCTTGGCTTTGTCTCTTTTGTCACAGGACCTTATATTGTCAGTGGACACTGCTGACCTTCAGGCTACTTGTCTGCAACAAGGAGATTGCCATGTATGCCCTGTCCGTCAACTTCTGAGTCACCTGATGTGGATATCTTACTAATTCCAAACTCCTTTTTCATCCTCTGCCTTTGTGTGTCTGAACCTTCTTGGCCCATTGTCTTGTCTCCAGTTGCCCGTTGTTTGACTCAGAAAGCCCAATCTTGGTTACTAGAGTCTATCTAGTCCATGCTATGGGTAGTGGTGACCTTGATGTGGAGGGATCCAAACGACTTTCTGCCCTCATCTTAGGTGACCTCTTAGCAAAATGTGCACGTTTCTTCCTTGAAATATGCGCTTCTCTTGGCCTCCATGACCCACAGCCTGTTTGTTTTCTTACGTCTTTCTGCCTGGTTCATCTTGGGTAGTTCTTGCTCCTCAGCTCAGATCTATTTCTTGGTGTTTTTCACTACGCCCTTTTTTCCCTGGGTGATCTCTCCTAATCCCACAGTTCTATAATCCCATGTATCAGTTAGTATATTGCTGCAATATTGCTGTGTAACAGACTGACCTGAAATGCAGTGTCAGAAGTAGGCATTTTTCTGAGTGAGGAAAGTGAGACTCAGTGAGAACAATTAACTTCTTGAAGACGTAAGTGACATGAGTTCCAAATCAGATTTCCAGTTCACTGTTTTCTCTACTGTGTTCTGAACTTAAAGAAAGGACTGATCATTATCTGTCTCATTTCTATGAATAGCTAATGAGCTACCATATTTCAAAAATGTTTCAAAAATCTCTCCCTTATTTTTATTCTCTAAAATTCTGTAAAAACATGCCATTAATGTCTCTCGTTAACTTCCTTTATCTGATTCTTAAATGAGAGCTTTCGTTCATTTGCCACAGATATGATGGCATATTTAAATTCTCCTTTTTCTGAATTGTCAAAAATAATCAGTTTCTACAAAATTATTAATTATGTCTACATTTTCAAGTGCAGTACAATAAAATGTTACTAATCCAGAATAAAGGAGGTATCCATTAGGGTTCTTTGGAGGCACACAGAAGCAAATAATCCTGGCTAGCATACAGACGAGGAATTTATTAGGATGATAATAACCAGCACCTGCAGCACCTACTTGGATTAGGCAGCATTCTAAGCACTGTAGTCATTAATTTCTAGATTAATGCCTACATAATAGGCACTGCTATTAGCCCCACTTTACAGATGAGTTACTTGGTTTCAAGGCACAGAGGAGTAACTTGCTCCAGGTTGTGCAGTTAGAGTATAACTAAATCGGGATTTGAACCCAAGCTGTGTAGCTCCAGAGTCTTAGGCACTACAGCCTGTCCAAGGATCTGGGGTAGTGACAGAATTAGGGGGAAACCTATGGAAGAAGATTCAAAGAGGGGAGAAATCAGGTCATGGTAGAGGACTGTCACTGGAAGAAACTCTAATCACCCTCCTCTCCCAAACCCTTGATTCCATTTAAAGGCTCCAGATTCAAAGTCCTGGGAGAGAGGCCCAGTTGGGTCTTCACAAGAAGAAGGCAGGGCACCTTGACGGACAGTTTCACCAAGGCTGAGCACAGAGGGAAGAACCAGTTCCCCTAGAGAAGACAAGAGCATTGTAAAAAGAAAACAATGAATTTGGGAGGTTGGACAGCAAAACAATGCCCATTACATGGAGCATGAAGGAAAGGAGATTTTTATTTCATGTTAACAAATAGCTCACAATGGCAGTTGTGTGAGAAATTCCTGAACTGTCTTAAAAATGTGTCCTCAGTAGACTCCTTTATTTGGAAGAGATGTCCCAACTTTTTCCTGCCTCGCCATTCTCACCCCGCTACCATAGCTGCTCTATAGAGCACAGGGTTCCCACTTCAGTTGGATCACAGCACGGTCAACCCTATATCATCAGGGAAATCTCTTTCCTAGCCCATGTAGCGACTGATTTCTATATAGCTCTGCTTTCCTCAGAACTCAACTTTCTAAAAAGACAGTCTATAGTCCCCCCACTCCCCACTTCTTGCACGGTCACTCCCAAATCTACTATCAGGTGGTTTGTCATTCCCAGCATTCCACTGAAACTCCCCTTGCTCAAGCCACCAATGACTGGACTTTGCCAAAACAAAAGAGCACATTTCTCTCCTTATCTTTGTTGCCTTCCCTGCAGCACTTGACATACTGACCACTCTGTCCTCTGGAAGCTCTTATCTGCGCTAGGCTCTTACTTGTTTTTCCTCTTTTCTCTACAGAAGTCTCTTCCTTATTGCCATTCTTCAGTTCTTTATTCTAAGTTCATTTTCTAAATGTTGGCATTTTCCAGAACTTCTGTTCTCACTCCATACACTCAACCTGGAGGACCTAATTACTTATATGTTCATAAATCTCAAGATTCATCTCCAGCCAGAACTCCGTATTGATCTCCAAAATAGCAACTCTCCATTTAGAAGTCTTACTGATATCTCAAATTAAATATGCCCCAAACTCATCAGTTTCACCTCTAAGCATCTTCTTCCTTCTTAATTATCTCATTGAATGTCATCTTCATCTTCTCATCCAAGCCAGAAACTTCAAAGCCATTCTCTCTCTCTGCATTCCTCAGATCCAACTAACCACCAAGTCTTATAGATCCTTCCTTTGTAATATCTCCTATACCTACCCACCACTTCCCTGGTCTCCTTACTAATATAATGTGGGCTCTATCATTTCTTACCACAGTAAGCCTTCTTAAGTGGTGATCTCTCTTCCTCCAATCTGTACCTTCTTTAAATACTCCACATTGCTGCCAGAGACATTTTTCTAAAATGTAAATATAACCACGTTAGTCCCAGAATTAAAATCCTTTTATGGTACCTACATATTTCAAGATGAAGTTCAAATTCCTGAGTTTGGCACATAAGTGAGATGAGGCTTCTGTTGCCTCTTAAGCTTCACTTCTCTTGTTAGATTCCCCCAGAGCTTTTCAATTTAACCATAAGGTAGGCTAAATGGTTGTTCATATATGTCATGGTCTCTCTGCCTTCTTCCATGCTGCTTCCTGTTAAATGGATGCTCTTTATTGTGTTGAACACTGTCCCCTATTCAGGTTCACCTAGAACTGGTGAATGTGATTTTATTTGAAAATAAGGTTTTTTGTCTTTTTTGTTTTTTTTTGAGACAGACTTTCTGTCACCAGGTGCCAGGCTGGAGTGCAGTGGCACCATCTTGGCTCACTGCAAACTCCGCCTCCTGGGTTCAAGCAATTCTCCTGCCTCATCCTCCTAAGTAGCTGGTACTACAGGCGTGCACCACCACACCCAGCTAATTTTTGTATTTTTAGTAGAGAGGAGGTTTCACCATGTTGGCCAGGATGGTCTTGATCTCTTGACCTCATGATCTGCCCACCTTGGCCTCCCAAACTGCTGGTATTACAGGCATAAGCCACTGCGCCCAGCTGCCACATAGTTTTAAACAGTCAGATTGCACTTCTCACAGAGAAGTCACTCACTATCATGAAGACAGCACTAAGAGGATGGTACTAAACCATGCATCAGAAATCTGCCCTTGTAATCCAATAACCTCCCACTAGGCCCAACCTCCAACCTGGGGATTACATTTCAATATGAGATTTAGGTGGGGACACAGATCCAGTCTGTATCAGACGTGGAACAGATTATCTCTTAGAGCCAGTGGAAGGAACTGATACTGCTGACACCTTGATCTCAGATGATTAGCCTACAGAAGAAGGACAGAACACATTTCTGTTTTTTTAAGCCATTCAGTTTGTGGTATTTTGTTATGGCAGTTCTAGGAAACTAACATACCTCTTTGCTCTTTATTGCATTGCTAATAACTTCAGCATAACTCAACTTTTCTTCTATGGGAAGAATTCCTTGACTTTCCCATTCCCAAGCCATTCCCACCCCTTCCCCCCAAAACCCCTAGCCAACCACCATTTTTTGAGACTGAGTCTTGCTCTGTCACCAGACTGGAGTGGAATATCGTGATCTTGTCTCACTACAACCTCCACCTCCTGGGTGCAAGCAATTCTCCTGCCTCAGCCTCCTGGGTAGCTGGGACTACAGGCATGCACCACCACGTCTGGCTAATTTTTGTATTTTTAGTAGAGATGGGGTTTCACCATGTTGGCCAGGATGGTCTCGATCTCTTGACCTCGTGATCCACCCACCTTGGCCTCCCAAAGTGATGGGATTACACGCATGAACCACCATGTCTGGCCACCATCCCCCCTCATTTACAGGTCTTTCCTGTTGTCTCATTGGAGTTCTAGAGATCTTTATTTTAATGCATTGCTCTGCTGTCATCTTTTTTTTGGTCTCTTTAGTAAGAGAGAATAGAGAGTGAGTTGGTGTCTACCTAGTAGTCTATCCTGCAAATGGAGTATTACAAATCATTAAGTACAGTGGACATGTTAATAGGAAAAGACCAATGTGCATAATGCATTGCCAACAAAGTTACTGTAACATACAAGAACAGCTGTCTCTATTACTGAAGTTAATTATATTCACTAGCAATGGTGAGAATTATGTCCATGCTATCTCAAATCATGAATTATTTGCTTTGAATTTGTTTTACTGCTTTGAATAGTAGTTTGCAACTACTATTAAAAAAATCAATACAGTGTGCGTATCTAAATAATAGAAATATCCTTTGTAAAGAATAAGATCCCGGGAGTCAGGAATGTTTCCAACATGCCTTGTTATCTTGACCCTCGAGGGATTGCAATCTCTCACCGGCTTCAGTGGTGTGCATGTTACATTGGGATAAACTCACAGGTTTATAAGGCTCATTAGGAAAGGAAGGATCCAAAGTGTGTAGAACAAGCTTGCCCGTACGCAGTCCAGGACAGCTTTGAAACCGGCCCAACACAAATTTGTAAACTTTCTTAAAACATTATGTGATTTTTTTAAAGCTCATCAGCTATTGTTAGTGTTAGTGTGTTTTATGTGTAGCCCAAGACAATTCTTCTTCCATTGTGGCCCAGGGAAGCCAAACGATTGGACACCTCTGATGTAGAACATTAGTCTGAGAAATCACTTGTCAGAAGCATGGGATTTTAACCCATGAAAAATTACCTCTTAGTGGCCTGAGGTGGCTTAGTGAGCTATTCCCACTTTGCTGTCATGGGAACTATGAATCACAGTCTCAGAGTCTACATAAAAACCTCACAAATCTGTGGAAATCTGCTTAATAAAGACATAATAAGCTGGACCTGTTTACTTTTAAGAATTCACTAATATAATGACTTGCCACATATGCAAATATTACCCTCAGATGATAATGGAGGACTGTTTTGCCAAAACTGATAAGAACATTGTGCACATATGTTTGGGCCTAAAAAGATCACTTGTTATTAATATTAACAAAGATAGCCAAAGTCTTTAGTGTTTTGTTTGTAAAATCTCTTGCTTCATTGAGGGCTATGAGATGTCATTATTTTTCTTATTCACTCAACTCATGCAGTTAAACAAACAGACTTACGTAGCACAAACATGAAACATTACTTTTTAGGCTATCCCAAATTGTTTAACATATACAATATGCCAGGCCTGTGGTAGGTACTAGAGAGTCAAAAAGACTCAATCCCTGTCTTCAGAGGCTCACATCTTCTGGGGAGAAAGGCGATTTCACTGCCACAGATTTCAATGGTAACACAAGAGAAGAATGACTCATTTCAACTTTTGTAATCGGGGAAGGCTTCCGGGAAACCAGTGGAGAAAAACAGGGAAAAAAAATATCAGGAAAAGAGTAAGCAATCACACAGATCATGGAATATAGAAGGTGGGTGGACTCTGCCAGTCCTGACCTCAGGAGGTTTCTATCTAGTGGAGGAGGCAGAAACATAAAGGGAGACTGGATTGCAGTATAGTGGTGAGCCCATCGGTAGGGTTCAGCATAGGGAGTTATGCATGCACACTGCTAGCACATCTAAGAGAGAGCCCACCCAAGGCCTCTGAGTGTAAGCAACAGCAATGCTGCCTTGAATACTGAGCAGAAGTTCACCAGTGGGAAAGAAAGGACATTTCAGGCACACATGGACAAAACATGAACAGATATACAGGCCACCTGCTGGAGAGGTAGTTGAGGGTGGGGTGAGACTGGAACAATATTTACTTGGCATGGCTGCAGCTCTAGATGCAAGATACGGGGCTAAAGGGAGTGACAAAGGAAGACTCTGGTGGGCTTTATAAGTGAAACTGTGAGAAGTAGGGCAGTGGCAGCATTAATTGAGGGAAGGATGGACCTAGAAATCCTGAAGAGGTCAAATCAGCTGTGCCCTCTGACTGAATGTGAAGGATGAAGGAATGGAAGGATCCAAGGTTTTAAGATGAGGCAGAAAGGCAACTGTGTTAAGGTAAATGCCACGACAGATGGAATCACAGGGAACCCACCACAAGCTGGTGAGGTGAGAGCCTCAGCAGGGTTCTGGAAAGGTGTGCTGGGCAGGATGAGCCCGGAAGGAGGGGAGTCAGTCAGGTGAGGGAATAGGGGGGTGGAAGAGGCCACTAAAGCAAATGAATGGCATGAGCAGAGGCAGGAGGCTGAAGACCACACGCTGGAGGACTGCCAGTCATTCAGAATTACTGTCCCTTACCTTCTGGAAACATTTATCTGTGTGAGGGGCATGGTGGTTAAGAGTGCATCTAGGATCAGATGATTCAGGTTCACAATCAGTTGGCCACTTATAAGCTGTGTGGCCTCAGGCAAATTAGTTGAGTCCCCAGTGCTTAAGGCTTGTAACACTTGCCACCCAGAAATGAAAATAACATCTACCTCTAGGATTGTTGTGAGCTCTTGGAAGAGAGCTTTGCACACAGGTTAGCTAGTATTAACAGCAATAGTACTAGTGATCATGGTAGTAGAATTTACTTGGGCTTTCTTACTAACAGGAACTTACCACCAGGTCTACCTTCCAAGTCCACTGCCCCTTCCCTACCTCCCTTTTCTCACCCTGAAACCACCTTTGCAAAAATTATATCAGTGTGAATATTGTGGCAGTGGGGGAGATATGATCTAGCCAACCCAACTCCCCATTCCTTGCCTTTAGTTTTCAAGCTACCTTAATTATTCCTGGGCTTAGGTCTAGCTAACATTGGAAAGATATTTAAGTTATAGTTTAAATGAGACTAATGAGACCATCAGGCTAGGGGAAGGAAAGGAGCCTGAATTCTGTTAATAGGCTGGTCACAAGATATGCAACTTCCCCAATTACTCCTGCAAATAACATCACCAGTGTAGATTGGCCTTTTGAGATATGTTTTCAGGCTTTTTGCATGTCTGACACTAACGGCTCCACCTGGTCCTGCGAAATTGCTCCTGTGGCCCCACAGAGGAGTGACTCAGCTCAAGAGTTCAGCTTTGACTCCCTGTGATTTCATCTCCACCCCCAAAAATCAGCAGCAAGCACCCATTTCCTAGCCACTTCCACCCCTTCCCCTAAACTGCCTTTGAAAAATCCCTAACCTATGAGTCTTCTATGGGATTGATGTGAGTAATAACTTTGTCTACCGTGTGGCATGGGCAGCCACACATCAATTAAACTCTTTACTTCAGTGCCATGGTCTTTATTTGTGCAGTGGGCAGGAAGAACCTGCTGGGTGGTTACAACTTCATCCTCTCCACAATCATAGAATAACCAAAAGATCATGCTTTATAACATGACATTTTAATTCTGAAAATGTGTTGGACACCTCAGGCTGCATCACAAATATCTCAACTTCCTGTTCTGTTACCCAATTCACTTCTTTTTACTTTTCCCAAATTTTACTATCTCCTTTCTCCAGAACTACTCCTAAAAT